GAGATGGGAGAGCGATGTAGAGGGAATGGTGTGGCGGGATCAACAACCAGTCCAGGTCAGGAGACCAAGGCCCGGATTAGGATCTCATGAGTGAGTTGCCGAATGTTTAAGAGCGCATTCAATGTGAATTATTTTTTAGGGTTTGACCAAAGAAGGTGAGAAGACCAGTTATGTTCTGACCGAGTGCTTGAAGGACAGTGAACCTCATGGGTAAGTGGAAATCGAATAGTGTAGCCCGAATTGATATACATTTGGTTCAGTCTTCATGTTTTAATCTCAATTTTCAGCATTACCCTATATGTGGAACTTGCATGTAATGGACTTTTTGGAGCCGGAAACGGTTCCATGATCGCCGCCCCCGACCCAAACAGGAAGTTCACTCTCCAGAAGGCCGAGCTTGTTGTTTTCAATCGAGACGTCAGAGAGCTTCTCACTGACTTTGAGATGCTTGTGGATATTGTCAAGGTATTGTCACACTTTGATCTTAAAGTGAGCAGGGAATCAAAAATGTACATCTTTAATAGACACTTAATTTACACTGTTTTTGGACAGATACTAGAAGGAGAGCAGCGCGGATTCCAGGCCTTGTTTACAGCCAATGAGATGGTGAACCTGTGCGATCCAGCCAATCCCAGTTCATTTGCTGCTGCTCAAAGTCTAGCCCAGAAGTTTTTTGCCCAGAAAAATGGGGAGAGTCAACACGTGGTACATGCCATGGGTCACTGCCATATTGACTCGGGTAATAATCACGTGTGTCCTCAAAAATGTTAATCTGCATATTAGAATGATTTCTGGAGAATCATGTGACACTTAAGACTGGAGTAATGATGCTGAAAATTCAGCTTTGCATCACAGGAATAAATTACATTTTAAAATATATTAAAATAGAAAACAGCTATTTTAAATTGTAATAATATTTTACAATATTACCTTTTTACTCGTACCCTCCTCAGCTTGGCTGTGGCCTTATGAAGAGACCATCAGGAAGTGTGCTCGCAGCTGGGTCACTGTGATCAGACTGATGGAGAAGAACCCAGAGTTTGTCTTTACATGCTCACAAGTAAGTTTCTGACCATGCTTACAGATTTTCTTTCTTTTTAGGCACAGTGAGAAAGAATCCCCTTCACCGTGGCCGTAAGCCAATGGAAAATGCTTAATAAACGTACAAAATATTGTGTTAATTCACATGTACATTTTTTTTAGGTTAGGTTAAGGCATAAAAAATAGCATTAGCTCAGTACAAAGCAATAGACGTCAATGAGATGCTCATCATGATAGAAAAACAAACGTGTATGTTCAGGCACAGCAGTTCCAATGGGTGAAGAGCTGGTACCCGAACCTGTTCTCAGAGATCAAGCAATTTGTGCAGAAAGGCCAGTTTATTCCAGTCGGAGGCACGTGGGTGGAAATGGTAGGATGAAAATATCTGTGCATGTTTCTTCACCTCATTCTGTTCAGAACTCATTAAAATCTCTTTAACAAGCTGATTTGTTCCGTTTCTTTCTATTAGGATGGCAATTTGCCGTCTGGGGAATCCATGGTAAGACAGTTTCTACACGGCCAGAATTTCTTCAAGGATGAATTTGCACATTACTGTAAAGAGGTATCTCAATTTGTCTAAAAAAAAGTACATTCCGTCACCATGACACAATACAGTTTGTATATTTTCTCTACTTCGTTATCAGTGTTGATGCAGGTGAGTGCAGTGACTCATGGGCACAGTCGACCAGGTCTTGGAATCTCTTTAATAAAATCTGCAGTTTACTGGGAAAGAACAGATTAAGAAAGAAAAACAGTGCAAATCTTCTCTCCGCCAAAGCTGAGGAGGTTTTGAGAACCAGAAAGGAGGGAATGTGAGGCTGTATATCTGTCAGACACAACCCACAGATGGGCCTTGAGAAGAGATGAAACGGAGTACAATGACAGAAAATAAATCTTAATTAGTCGAACTTCTAAAAGAATGTGGAACAGATGTAATTATGTCATCTGTTATTACATTACACATTTTGGATATTATAATTTGACAAATATTTGATTACTTTTGAACAGAATAAGACAGAATATGTTGTTTACCTGCATGTCATGTGAGCATGAACCCTGACCATGCAAACGTGTTGTTAAATTCATGAAATATTAACTTAAATCTCAGGAGGTACTTTATATAAATATATT